AAGTTGTTATCGAGAGAAAAATGAGGGATCGAGTGCACTAGAAAGGATTTGTAGTTTGTAGTTTACAAGTGAGCACAAAGTAAAGCGGTATTTTGTAATCTCAACAATTTCAGATGGGGTCTCTGGGTTGTGAGCGATCTAGTGGTAGCGCTCACCTACGGGATGCCTGGGTAACCTTTTTTTTCAAATTAGCTATTTAAATAATTAACTATCATACCGTATTTCCTCTAATAAACGCCCCCCCTTGACCAACTTTGGACGCTTCGTTCTCAGCCCCATTTTGAGGTATTTTTATGTTTAATATATCAAAAGATAGAAGCCATTAATGTTCTATCTTTTGATATATTAAACATAAAAATACCTCCAAATGGGGCTGAGAACGAAGCGTCCAAAGTTGGTCAAGGGGGGGGGGGCGTTTATTAGAGGAAATACGGTAAGCTAAAAAGGAATAGGATCTTAGAAAATCAATAATTTCAAGCAATTTAATAATTTCAATCAGTTTAATAATTTCAAGCAGTTTCTGTTTCAGTTTCTGCTAGAGATGAAAGCAATTTAGGTGCTTAACCATTGCGAATACTTGCATAAACTTGATTTTCCGGAAGGACTACCGCGAGCAGTTTATTGGAATATTTGGGTGCGTTTTTCGAGTAAACTAGAATAGAATTTCAGCCATTAAAAGCCATTAAAAGCCATTAAAAGCCAAAGAGCCATTAAAATAGCATTTCCCTAACATTCCCCAACATTCCCTAACAACGTTTCAGAGTTCATGCCGAGAAAATGACGAACAAAGTGCAAATCTCAGTCACCCAGTCTCCATCACTTCACTCGCATGCCCCATCACCACAAATATTTCGCTCAATTGCTCAAATGGCAATGACGAAAGTTGAGCCTTGATTTTTATGTAAATTTCTTTTTTTCATCTTTGTTATATTTTTGAACTGGACCTGGAAACAGACCGTACTCGCGCGTAGTCGACGCGATCGAGTCCGCTACAAACCACTGTAACTTTCTTTAGCCTTGATACTTTTAGATGTGTTTAGTTCATTTAAAAGCTCTTGAGATTCTCTAGTTTTTCAGCTATAGATCATGTCAATCCGATAGATTTGAACCAAGTTAGAAGCGTTTGTAGTTTACGTTTGTAGTTTACATTTGTAGTTTACGTTTGTAGTTTACGTTTGTAGTTTACGTTTGTAGTTTACGTTTGTAGTTTACGTTTGTAGTTTACGTTTGTAGTTTACGTTTGTAGTTTCTAGTGCTCAGGTCTAGAATGGATCCTGGTCAAAGGGTTAGGGACGGCTCTTGACTATATGAAGTTAGAGCTGATCTGGCAGACTCTGGGATTCGGATATTCTAACCAGATCAGGTCAGAGCTAAGCTAGATCCCGAATCCTAAAGAATCTTAGTATGGGCAAGACAGGCAAGGCAAAGCAAGTGAGGTAAAGCAAGTGAGGCAAAGCAAGTCAGGCAAGGCAAGGCAGGCAAGGCAAGGCAGGCAAGGCAAGGCAGGCAAGGCAAGTGAGGCAAGGCAAGTGAGGCAAGGCAAGCCAGGCAAGGCAAGTCAGGCAAAGCAAGTGCGGCAAGGCAGGCAAGGCAAGGTAGGCAAGGCAAGGTAGGCAAGGCAAGCCAGGCAAGGCAAGTCAGGCAAGGCAAGTGAGGCAAAGCAAGTGAGGCAAAGCAAGTGAGGCAAGGCCAGTCCGACAAGACACGCTAGGCAAAGCAAGCCAGGCAATTCAGGATTAACCAGGGTCAATCTACCCCTAGATGTTTCTCCAAATAGCAGCCTAAAGTCTAGATATAACGCGACGCTTGTACCGTAGCGCCTGTAGCATTTCTATCACAAATTTCTGTACCATATTCCCTGTAGGGTTTCTACTCTATTTTGTGAATCCTCTTGTACAGTTTGTGTAAAACCACGTTTACACTGAGCTACTTTAGCCACTGAGCTAAAATTGAATTTCTAAAGCTAAAGCTACTGTACGTCACTCGATTAGCGTTTCATTTTCAATCACAAACTATCTTTGCTGCCTACATGCGCAAAGATAGTCATTTTCTATGCTCACTCAAATAAACGGGTACTTATCGTTGTGAAATTGTTCTTTACAACTTTTCTTTACATTGTGCTTTGGAGAGAAAATTGTTTATTGCAAAGACACGTAGAATTAAATCATTTTAATGGAATGGAATGAATGGAAAATGGAATCAAAACGAGCACCAAATGAGTAAGAATAAAGAAAAATATTTGTAGCTTTAAAGGCGATGAATGAAACGAGACAATGAGACGATTTAACTCAACAATCGTAAACTACCGTAATGATTTTAATATTAGGTTGTTCGGATATAAACGAGCGTTTTAGTAGTCGACAAAATTTATCTTAAAAACAGAAACAACACAGTTTAATCCAAAATCTATTTACCATTATTATTGATTGCTTCTTGCCATCTTTTGCGCAAAGAATTGATGCCGCTCTTGAAAAACTCAGCCGGCTGTGACTCGAGAAACTTGGCGACCCAATTTGGGATATCTTCACGGGTTTTGATTTTCTCATTAGCCAAAAGGTTTTGCATCGACCGGAATAAATGGAGGGAGCTAGATCGATAGAATGGAGAGAGCTAGATCGGTAGAATGAGAGAGCTAGATCGGTAGAATGGAGAGAGCTAGATCGGTAGAATGGAGGGAGCTAGATCGGTAGAATGGAGGGAGCTAGATCGGTAGAATACGGCGGATGTGGTAGAAGCTCCTCCCATCCTAGATTCTCCAGTTTTTGCTGAGTGATTTTTGCAACGTGAGGTCTAGCGTTGTCAGCGATGGACGATGGTCTAGCGATGGACTTTATCTTTGATGTGTCTACTCCTTGACGAATGAGAGCTTCATTGACCCGATCAAGTTGCTGTTTGTAGAGGTCTGATATGACTGTTTGGCCGGGTTGTAGAAGCTCGAAATACACAAGGACCTTGTTATTCCATGACCGAGCATGACCTTTTTCCCATGAATGCCCGGTTTCACGGTCGGATTCGGCCGTTCTCCTGGTCCTAGTCATTTCCGTTTTCGAATAGTATTATCGAAATGGATCCACTTCTTATCTCCAGTAACGAGAGAATCAAAAAAGCCATGATATTTAGCGTGGCGGATGAGAATTCCGGCAATAGCGAAGCCTTGTTTGCACTGCTTAACTCGCGAGGAAGCCATTTCCCGCATCTGGTCGTCTTTGCAATGGTCTCAGCTCAAGGTTTGTAATCGACTGGAAACACAGTGCATTCGGCAATAGTTCAAAGATGCCATTACCCGCAAGTGGAATGCGAGAAGAAGCACAATCAAGAAGCCCAAGAAGCACAATCAAGAAGCTAGTTGACAGCATGTCGAGTATTTAACGTGATCAGTCGCCAGGGATAACAAAATAATAATAACTATTAAACTTTTATCGTTATGAATAAACCTTGTTATCTTAAAAATGAATAAAAATGCAAGAACGACACCAAAATTTGCGGGGAAAGGTGGCAAAATTTGCGGGCGGAAGGTGGAATTTACATTCGGCTTTTGCATTTTCTCTATTCATCTTATGTCGATGATTTCTTTAGGTTTAAGGGTTGTTTCTGGTTCTGAATCGAACTACGTTTTCAGTTTTTTTTCATCACTAGCAAGGAAGCCGCAGAAAATTGAAATTTAGGCGGTGGTGGATGGTTTTGCATCGCACTGTACAACCCCTGTATAATCTGTATAAATCACACACTCAAAGAAACCTTTTTTGTTGAAATTTCTTGTGTTACAGTGTTATCTGGAAGTTGTCTTTTGAAAAGTAGATCTGAATCTTTCCAAGAAATCGCAAAAAAAAGGGTTTGCATAGCACGGGATTGAACCCAACGGCGAAGGAATGACAGCCGTTTTAGAGACTAGGCCTTTATCCACTTGGCCACGAGCCCATCCCTGACCGGCAGCGAGAGAAGCTTTATAAAGGGATCAGCTTTGAAATGATGCTTTGAATGAGGCTTTGAATAATGCTTTGAAATGATGCTTTGAATGATGCTAGGAATCAGTTTTGAATCCAGATTCCATGCCAGATTGCATGCCAGATTCCTTGCATGCCAGATTCCATGCCAAATTCCTCACGTTTCCGTGGCTATTAGCGGCTAATATTTGTGGCATTTTGCTCGTTATTTCTGTTCGCTATTACGCTATTACTATTTCTGTTCGCTATTACGCTATTTCTGTTCGCTATTTCTGTTCGATATTTCTGTTCGCTATTTCCCTATTTCTGTTCGCTATTTCTATGCACTGTGTTTCCAGTCGATTTCAAACTTTGAGCTGAGTCCATTTTTTGTGCAATGAGTGCCCGACAATATGGCCCTTTTATTATCTCTATAATATTGTACTTTCGAGTTTGGACCGTCAAGTGGAATTCAGCCTGCATTTGTTTCATGTATTAGTTTTAACATTTGATTCAATTTGACTTTTTACGGGCTCTTTAAAGTTTATTTTTCATGTATCACCGCTGATATTAGGGCCTATAGAGTGCCCGTCTATTGGCATACAAACAACCACTTTTACTTCTCTCGATTTGACTGCTTTTGCGAGCGTGGCTTTACGAGAAATTTTCATTGATAATCGTTTGTTGAGAGTTTTTGATTTTTGTCAATACAAATCATTAATTTTGTTTAGGAAAATGCTACTTCTTCTACTTAGGCTTAGTGACTAAATTTTATGTAAATCTTGCGCTTTTCACATATACAATTTTGCAAAATCACCCATTTTCTTGAGTTGCTTTCGTAACCGCACGAATTTGCCGTTATTTGACCAAAAGGGCATTGGAATTTATTCCCCAAAACCGTTTTTACGTCAACAATCGTTAGACAAAGGCTATTTGCCTTTACAAGTCCGCCTTTTTGCTTCGAATTTGACCTTAAAAGCATACTTCCTTTAATATCTCTGTGTTTTTCAGCTTTTCCTCTTGTTTCTGCTCGTTTTATTCCTCGATTGGTTTTATATAATGTTCTGTTCGTTCCAGATGGTTCGACAGAAGAACGAGCCGAACAAAATCGACGGGCGGAAACGCGACTCGATCGGGGAAACGTGGCGAGATGAGCGAAATGACGAAGATAAGGGAAAGCCCATCGTACCCGTTCAACAACAACACAATGATGCACAGGAAGAAGTGAGGCTTGAAAAAAATTTGGTACCTTTTATTGACTAGTGTACCCGTCCTTTGGCTAAGTGGTACTTTTCCAGTGTCGTGGTAGTGCATTTCAAGGTTCTTTTCCCCATTTGCTCTAGACGCAGCTCTGACTTCAGTTTTTCTTTTGATTTCTGTTGAATTAGATAGAAGCGGCTTAAACTAGTTTAAAAGTAGATGAAAAGGTAAAGAACCTTTAAAGACAGTAAACTTATAGGTCAAGACAGTTAAAATTTGCCATCCTGATACTTGGGAAGCTACTGACTCGGTCTTTCCTCTAATTTCTCAAGTTTACAAAGTGCTCATGTCTAGTAAATGGCTAATTGTATTAAATTTATCGAGAGTTTCTTCTGAATCACGAAAAATTTCACTTTTAGGCGGATCGCTTACTTCACAAATGGGAAATGAACCCGGAACCGTCAGAGGAATACCTACGTATTATTGATGAAAATCGTTACATGATGAAAATCAGCGAGAAGGCCTCCAATAAGTCGAATGCGAGGTAGAAATTTAGCCAATTGAACAAATCAATGCCTTTTTTCAGGTTTTGGTTTAACGTGAAGAAAATCGAGGACAAGTACGCGAGGCGGGATCCGGACAAAGAGATAATCGTGAGTTATAATGCCAATATCGAACTGAGCCCACGTTTAGTACGACTTCAAGATGAAAAAAGTCTTTGTGTCCAAGGCGATCACTGATGAGGAGGCGTTGAAACAAGTTGGATATTATAAATTAACGTCAAATTTTGGGTTGAGATGCAAAAGTTGACCGAGATGCCCGAGTTTGGGGAGAGCGTTCTATCGTGTTTCGATTCGTCAACACAAGAGGATGATTCGCCCGCGCAAAAGAGGGTGAATCGCCAGAGGGGCGTGCTGAATAAGGTTATTGGGATGGCCTGCTTTTGGTTATATTCGGTTCTAGACAAGAAATATTGCCTTTTGGCATTAAAAGTCAGATTAGGGCTAGTGCTAGGCTCTAAGTTAACCCAATGCCTATCCAAAGTCGATAAGCTTTTGATTGTTGAGCTACTCTGGCTCTGGAATAGGCCATGTATTATAAAGGAGACTAAAATTGCGTTACAAAATAGTATAGGGTAGAAATAAGCTTTAAACACGCCCTATCCTGGTCTAGATCTATCAAAAGGCGATAAGTTTTGTCTTTGTTGTAGCCTAACTCGAGAACAAGATCTAAAATTTCTAATCCTAACAAATTTAGATATTCGAAATGCAGTACGAGTCGTGCCCACTTGCCCTGTTGCCAAAGGAGCCGACTCTACAGCTACCACCACCACCAGTTCTCCTACCAGTCGAGGGGGTGCCCACCGAGAGGGAGACACGCAAAAGGACGATTACCATCACTGGAGCGGCCTCGGAAGTGTTACGAAGTAAGTGGTTTAAAGATTAATCTGACATAATTTGCTTACATACGTACGTACAGTCATCTCCTCGACAAACAACATCTTCGCCCTCTTCTCCAACGAGAAACCAGCGCTGACGGGTGATGCGACTGTGGAAAAAAAAAACGAGGCTGAGCCAACCGTCGAGAAAAACGTTGAAAAACTGGATGCGAATCATATGAAATGCGTCAAAGAAGAGCTGATCGATTTCCCGGTCAATTCGATGATGAACAACGCTGGTATTGGCTTAAACTTTTGTACATTGGGTTAAACGTTGTTTAGATCTCACAAATCGACGTTCATCGCGAAGAAAAACGATCGATAATGCTTTCAACGATGAATCGATGCAAATCGTCAAGAGGAAACCAAAGGATTTTGGTACAATTTTACTATTTTCCCACTTAAAACTTTTCCTAGAAATTTCCCCAAGGCAACCCTCTCAATCGGTACAAAAGTCTCAATCTGTCAAGTCTCAGTCTCAATCAATCGAGCGTTGCTTTTATGTTTGAAAGACTTTAATTCATATTCTTAAGATCGTTTGTAAATAAGATGTATTTATCATGGTTGTTATGGTTTGTAGTTTGTCATAAGAAAAACACAAAACTTGTATTTTATTTTAATTTTATTAATTTTTAAAATTCAGCAGATTCATGTTTCTTTAACTTCATAAGTGATAAATATTATTGCACTTATTCTAAATCCTCTGTATTATCTTCATCATCCATACTATTATTTAGTATCAAATAAATGGTCAAAGACCATATTTTCAGTTAATCTTGAACTATTTTTTCTTTTGCAAACTACATCTTGAACAAAAACTTAGTGAAATTCAAGATGATCTGCCAGAAGATTTGACTTGTGGAGGATACCAAAATGAACTCAACTCTTTGAAATCAACCTTCCTTTGCCAATTCCAAAAACTTTGCTTTATTACTAATGGGGGAAGTTCTTCAAGTAGGGTGGGACCCACCGGCAAAATAAGAATCTTGATAGCTCAGTGGTAAAGTAATTGCCGGACAAAAAAATGTCCAGGCTTCAATCCACTTTTCTTTATTAAACATTTATGTTAATACTCTTTCAGTTAACAAAATCCCGATCCTTCTCTTACCAACAACGATGAGTCGGACCAAGAGATGGAGAGATGGGAATTATGATCTCCATTTCTCGGAAAGCTCTTTGAATCTTGAGACTGGGGGAACGATTATGGATTCTTGGGATTACGGGTCGATCTTGTGGTGAGAAAGGTTTCAAAAGTTACTCATAGATTAAACAAAGGCGTTTCCAAAACGAACAAAGAGTTTTAAAGGTTTCGATCATAATTTTGCTTAGCATCCCAATCAAAACTCATTTGAAAATCAGTTTATCAGATTCGTTTACTATTAAAACTTATATTTCCAGGGTAGCCACTGGGGAACGATGTCTTGGCTTTGAAGTGGAAAGTGCCGGAATCATCGAGTGTGCTTGTGCTGCTCCACAACTTGCTGTCGACAACTTCCGAAAATTCGTTAAATAGATTCGTTGTATAAATTCGTTAGATGGCTTGTGCTGATTTGGTAAACTCATATTTGGCTTGTGCTGATTTGGTCTTGAGATTTTGAAGCCAGGAATGTCTTGAGATTTTGAAGCCAGGAATGTCTTGAGATTTTGAAGCCCTTGTCAGAATCGAGGCCCGTGATTTTCCCATAGCCCTTGAGATTCTAGATATTCGGAAGTTGCCGATAGTCGAGCCTCCACCAATCGCAACGAAAGACAGCGCGCTGTCTTTCGTTGCGGCCATTCGTTTGGAAAGTACGAGCATATATTTGACATTGAGGCCATCCAGAAGTACGGTAATTGAAGCGTATTTGAGAAAACAGGGCCCTATTTCTGAGCAGGACAAGAAAAAGTTATAACTTTGCGCAGAATGATTATTTTTAATTACTTTTTGAACTAAAATGCTTAAAAAGAATCTTAAAATAAAAATTATTAGACAGAATTTTTTTGCTCATAAACTTTTTTTGAGAATCAGACCTCCAAACTTTACCCCTGTTTTGGAAAATTGGTGCATTTTCTACTTCAGAAACTCTGGGTTTATAAAATAATTTGTTAGATGTTAAAATCTAAAAAGATATTTTCAAATGTCTTCTTTTAAATAAAAACAAAACGAAGTCTGAATGCCGAATAGAAATTTTTTTCTATGATTTTGAAAATAACAACTTTTCACTTTTTGGAGTTCTCAGAAAAAGCTGATTTTAAAACAAATTTGTCAAACGGATTTCAAAATCATTATCATTTTTGGAATCAGTACAAAATTCTGCGTCGAATGGTACTTACTAGAAGAAATTTCATCAGAAAACGCATTTTTACATAGTTTTCGCGCGGACGTGCAGCGGGGTTTCGGTGGGCGAAACAAAGGAACAAGTGAGATCTTTCAGAATATCCTAGAACTTAGAAATAGTGGCTACATTCGCTAGCCAGAGTTTTAATCTAATTGTGTCAAATTTTTAGCCAGCTTCAATCAGCCGAACAACCTCCAGCAGTATGCAAGAACTGGCGGCAAAAGAGAAAAACGAAGAAAGGAAAACGTTTATGAAATTTTTTAGAAGGTAAGAATTGAAATAGAATCCTTATCTTGTCAATCTTAGTATTAGATTCTTGGTCAATTGTTGTCTAAAATTAAAATTCGCTTTAGAAACTCGGCAAAGCAACGCCAGCAAAGGTCAAGCAAAGGTCGAGAATCATTCGAGCAAAACGCCAGCAATGAATGGCTCGCAAAGAATGAGTAATCACAAAGATCAAATATCTATTCAGCCTTGATACTTTTAGATGTGTTTAGTTCATTCAAAAGCTCTTGAGATTCTCTATTTTTTGAGCTATAAATCATGGCAATCCGGCAGATTTGAACCAAGTTAGAAGCGTTTGTGGTTTACGTTGGCTGGCTACAAAAGAAATGGCTACAAAAGTTTCTTAAGAGAGATGGATTCTCACTTTGGATTCCTACTTCGATCGAACAAAAGCAAGCAAAGGAATTTGAGTCGTGAACCGTAAAACGAATCACAACTTTGCCAAAAGAAAGAGTACGAATCTACTACTGGAATCTGCTGGAAACTGGAATATAGATTGTTTCAATTGAAGAAAAGTGCATTGAAACAAAAGGAGTCAAGAAAAAGGTGCAAAGGCAAAGGTTGAAAGGAGGTGAATGACAATTGACGTCGTTTAAGTTGGAGAACGGAGTTGGAGAACAGGAATCTATCACAATCCAATAGAAGTCCCAGGGCTTCTATTAAAATCATTGCGGTAGTTTACGATTGTTGAGTTAAATCGTCTCATTGTCTCGTCTCATTCATCGTCTTTAAAGTTACAGATTTTTATATTATATCTAGACTTTAGGCTGTTATTTGGGGAAACATCTAGGGGTAGATTGACCCAGGTTAATCCTGAATTGCCTGGCTTGCCTTGCCTAGCTTGCTTTGCCTGACTTGCTTTGCCTGACTTGCTTTGCCTGACTTGCCTACACTATGAGAAACGGTTAGTATTCGGGATCTAGCTTAGCTCTGACCTGATCTGGTTAAAACATCCGAACCCCAGCGTCTGCCAGATCAGCTCTAACTTCATAGATCAGCTCTAACTTCACGTCAAGAGCCGTCCCTAACCCTTTGACCAGGATCCATTCTAGACCTGAGCACTATAAACTACAAGCGTAAGCTACAACGTAAGCTACAACGTAAGCTACAACGTAAACGCTACAACGTATCCGCTATCCGCTATCCGCTATCCGCTATCCTCTATCCGCTATCCACTATCCGCTATCCGCGATCCCTATCCGTTCAACTCCATTGTGTGCAAGACGAGACCAACACCAAAGTTCTGTATAAAAGCAATGTGAACGAGCTACCGAGGTGTGCCGTGGAGTCATTTCTACTCTCCCAAACCACTGAACCAACTATTATTGCTGTAATAAAGATATATCTAAATTATGTCTAAACCAACAATAATCACTACACCATCCTTTAGTCGTCGCAAAGTTGTTGCTGAATTCTTCTTGAGTTCTTCTTAAATTCTGCTTATTTTCACAATTTCTAATGAATAACGTGACTCCTTTTCGAAGGTTTTGATTTGTTTGAACCTTTGGAAACATTTGGAAACATTTGGAAACCTTTTGAAACCTTTTGAAACCTTTGGAAAAGTCGGTTCCTTTTGATTCCTCTTGATTCAATATTCAGAGACAATTCTTACAAAGGAATGGTCTCAGCTCAAAGTTTGTAATCAACTGGAAACACAGTGCATTCGGCAATAGTTCAATGATGCCATTACCCGCAAGTGGAATACCATCCCAAGAAGCACAATCAAGAAGCTAGTTGACAGTATGTCGAATATTTAACGTCATCAGTCGCCAGGAATAACAAAATAATAATAAATATTAAACTTTTATCGTTAAGAACAAACTTTGTTATCTCAAAAAATGAATAAAAATGCAAGAACGACACCAAAATTTGCGGGAAAAGGTGGCAAAATTTGCGGGCGGAAAGTGGAATTTGCATTCGGCTTTTACATTCGGCTACATTTTCTCTATTCGTGCTATGTCGATGATTTCTTTAGGTTTAATGGTTTTTTCTGGTTCTGAATCGAACTACGTTTTCAGTTTTTTTCGTCACTGGCAAGGAAGCCGCAGAAAATTGAAATTTAGGCGGTGGTGGATGGTTTTGCATCGCACTGTACAACCCCTGTATAATCTGTATAAATCACACAAAGCACACTCAAAGAAACCTCTTTTGTTGAAATTTCTTGTGTTACAGTGTTAATTGGACTTTGTCTTTTGAAAAGTAGATCTGAATGTTTGCAAGAAATCGCAAAAAACATGATTTTGCATGGGGCGGGATTGAACCCAAGGGCGAAGGAATGACAGCCGTTTTAGAGACTAGGCCCTTATCCACTCGGCCACGGGCTCATCCATGCCCGGCAGCGAGAGAAGCTTTATAAAGGGATTAGCTTTGAAATGATACTTTGAATAATGCTTTGAAATGATGCTTTGAATGATGCTAGGAATCAGTTTTGAATCCAGATTCCATGCCAGATTGCATGCCAGATTCCATGCCAGATTCCTCACGTTTCCATGGCTATTAGCGGCTAAATTTTATGGCATTTTGTGCGCTATTACGCTATTTCTGCTCGCTATTACTCTATTTCTGTTCGCTTTTACGCTATTTCTGTTCGCTATTACTCTATTTCTGTTCGCTATTACACCATTTCTGTTCGCTATTTCTATGCACTGTGTTTCCAGTCGATTTCAAACTTTGAGCTGATTTCAAGTCGATTTCAAACTTTGAGCCATTTCATTAGCATTTCACGAAATTTTATCACTTCTTTGTGCCAAAAATTGTACAGCTGGGACTGTAGTAATTATGAAAAGAGTGTGCTGAGGGGTGCTTCTATGCTGAAAAGAGATAATAAAAGGGCCATATTGTCGGGCACTCATTGCACAAAACACAGAAATTAGCATTTGGTCGAGATTGAAGAAACAACAAAA